CAGCTCTGTTTCTAAGGGAGGAGCTGATGTGGGGAGGCAAACCCCAAAGTTTATTTCGTATATAGCTAATTCAGTGAAATAATTAATTTACCATTATAAAGTTTATTTATTCGGCCGAGGTGTTTGGGTCCGAGCAGACAAAGGAAACGAGCAGTGAGGGAAGGAAAGGAACATTTGTGTCCCAGGAAATGTCCCAGGGTGAATTTCACGTTGCTCACTCAGCAAACACCGGCCTGGCCCCGAGTTCTGCAGAACTTTATCAGCAACCAAATCTCACCAGGGGCTGCCCTGGCTGTGAGCAACCCTTCCGTGGAAAGGTCACAGCCCGGGGCGGCTCCTGGGTGCGGGACAGAACCTGGGAACCCTGCGGATTCATTCCTGCAGCCTCTCTTTTCTCCATTGAAATTCATCATTTCAATGATTTCAGCGCAGAGCTGCGAAAAAAAAAACCCTTTTAGTGCTATAGAACGTCCAGGGAAGGAGCAGAAAGACTGAATCCTGCGGTGGTTATAGAGGTATATATTGTGAAAAATGCCCATCACTTGTTTGTAAAATTTAAAAACTTTAATACTAACAAAATAGCTATAAAAATAATAATATAATTAGAGTAATAAAAATTTGGACAATTTGGATTAGGACAATATGAGACAATAAGAACAAAGAGTTACAGACAGTCCAGGTACCTTTTCTGGGCAAAATAAGCCCAAAAAAGGCCCCACGTGAACAGAGGATTAACCTTTAAAAGCAACAGCCTGTTGCATATTCATCCAGCCCATCCATGCTGCATAAATTCCATTCAAACACAGGATTCTGGCTGGGCAGGGTCAGCTCCTTCCTCTGAATCCTGACGGTGTCATTAAGCCTGAGCGAGGCAGGAAGAAATTCATTTCTTCTGATAAGAGAGCAATAAATTCTCTTTCTCTGAAAGATTCAGGTGTCCTGTGGCTGATATCTCAGTGTGAGTCCTTTCTTTAGAAAAAAAAAAGTATCCTACGTACAAAGTTTCTATTTTTAACATTTTATTATAACCTAAAACTATATTTAACACACTACTTAAGAAAATGAATACAGCATAACTTTCTAATATAACACACATAATATTAATTTTTATATTTGCAAAAAGCCAATCATAAAATACCCATTTTTAAGGGAATTAGGGGTTTTTTTTTTAAATATATAATTTATTTTCTTTGCCTGTGGTTTGCTACAATCCTGGCCATGATCTCTTTTAGCGGGCAGCATCCCTTGTGCTCCTCAGCTGAAGATTTTGGGCTCTGGGAGGTGCAAAAATTTTTTTTTGAGCAAAATCCCCAACTCTTGGAGAAGAGCCTTTGGTGCAGTGACTGTGGCTGTGCAGCAAATCAGGGTTTCAAGGGCATTTTTGGGAAATGGAAACCAAACAGGGGCTGGGTTTGTGCTGTGGGTTGGGTACCAGGGGTACCAGAACCTTCTGCCAGGAATTTGGGTCCTGCTTCCCCCCTTAGAATGACAGGAATTACTGGAATTGGGAAATATTGGAATCACTGAAATTGGGAAATATTGGAGTTACTGGTGGGAGAGGGGGATGCTGGGGGATTTCTGCCATCCTAAAAACCAAACCAACAACAAAACCTTCCCGCACTTCTCAGCTCCCAAACCCTGCTTAATTTGCCTTTTCCACGATGTCCCTTCTGCTGTGAGCTTCATATGAATAGAAGAAAACAGAAAAAAACAAGCTACTGCATGAAATAAATGTATTTATTGACAGGAAGGAGCATGAAACAATGTAAAGCGATTAACAACGCAATTAATGGATAACTGTGGTAGAATACACTGCAGAAGCAAGTTCATCTCTGAGTAAATTGAATAAATGATATCTATAGAAACAGTTTAATACTCCTGTCCTTTCACCTGAGTGGTTCCCATGACTAAAAGATTAATGCTGGATTATTAAATGAGAGTTTTCTATGCTTTTTTAAGATAAACTGTAAGAAAATTCAGGTTTTTTTTCCCTGCAGATGTTTATGGCTGCTTTTCTCTTTGTTCAACACTCTGCTTCACCCTGGTGATGTGGGATTTCTGGGTTGGTTTGTAATGAAAATAAAGAGCTGGGTCTGACCCTTCAATCCCACAAATGGAAGCTGAGCTAACCCAGAAGTTCTTCCTTAATTGTCCTCAAATGAATAAAAAGTTCAGTGAAAGTTAAAATACAGAAAGAAGGATGGGCAGTGGTGAGGTGACAGAGAGAAATATTCAGAGAGGAAAAATATCCATAAAACCTGAGACAAAAAGGAAAAAGAAAAGATTTTAGATTATTCAAACATGAGGGAAAGCTGTGGAAGGACGTGGATGAGTTATGCAACTCCTCATGAGAATAACATATAATATATAGATTTTTTAAAATGAAATACTGAAAGATTAAGAATTATTTTATCTCAGACTAAAGAAAACACAAAAGAGAACTCTTTAGCTGTTCAGGGCATCAGAATCACAGGATATGACCCAAACCCCACTGGAATTCACTTCAACACTGCCACTCCTCCAAGCTCACTCACCTTGTGCAACGTAGCTCTTGGAGCTTAACACTTAAGGAAACCCCATAACACAAAAATAACTTTTTTTTTTTTTTGTTTTTTTTTTCACAAGAAACAAACGCAAAGGGTTCATTAAAAACATTCCCCAAAGATGCTGAGTACTTAACACTGGATCCTGCAGTGGCTTCACGTGGGAATCTCCCATTTCCCTCCACAGGAGACACGTGAGGAGCTGCTGGATCAGTTTTGGTTTTGCTTTTAGGTTCTGTAAAAGCAGAATTGCTCCCTATGTAGCAAACAGGGAAGTTTCATAGAAACCAGCAAACTCGCAACCAGAGGTTAAAATTAAACGAGAGTAAGTCTGGGAGGAAATAATTAAAAATAAAAATTATCTCGTTTATAATAATTCTACTGAATAACTCTGTTTTCTGGCAGTACAGAATAATTCCAGCTCCTTGTTATTCTCCCAACTGTTTTTTTTAAAAAATGATCTTCAAAAGCTGTTTTAGATTTAAATTTTATAAAGGTAAAATCCTCTGTTAGATCTGTTAGAAAGGAACTGATTTGAAACACTTTGTCCCAGACTTCACCTACAATCCACTATGGGTGCAAAATTCTGATTGCAATCAATAAAACCTTGATTTTTGTTGAAGAAACATGGTCAGCACAATGCTCTGTTTTGGAGAGACTGCCTTAAAGTGTGACCACTCCAGCCTTGGCCAAATTCAGGGCCAGACTGCAGAAAACATTAAATATTTTTAATATTTAGGCTCTGGATTCCCAGAGCTCGTGTTTAAAATCACTGAGATTTTCAGTCTGAATGTTGAATTTGGCGTGTATAGATAAATTTTAGGCTGAAACCCTCAAGACTAGACCCTGGATGGTTAAAATATTTTTCTTTGTCTAAACACCTGCATGAAAAATCATCAGAGCTTCAGACTGACATCAGACCTGAGCAGAAAAACACAAATTTGTGAGAAAATGAAGATGCAATTCTTCCTGGAGCACCTAACCCTGAATTCCTGCACAACCTGCACTGAGGGTTTCCCACATTTATCAGTCTTTTAAATTCTGGGTCCAGGTGAGATCTTTCCAGCAGTCAGTTCAAGATAAAATATAAAATATTCTAGATTTTGGTGCTTGTGCTCTGGTTTTTCTCCTGCAGCAGGTGGCCCATCAGGTGCAGGTGGTGAGAGCTCTCAGCATTTCCCTGCAAGACAACAAAGCAGAAAAATCTCAGCTCAGTCCCAGCCCAGGCGTTCCTGCTAAAGAAGGAAAAAAATCTCTCATTTTCTGGCTGGTTTTGGGTGAGGAAGGAGGTTTGCAAGGAAAATGAGTGAACCCAAAGGCTGGGATGAGGTGCTGAGCACCTTTTCCAGCATCTCCATGCTGGGGAGGTTTGAACTCGATGATTTTGGGTTTTTCTTCCACCCCAAATGATTCTGTGGGATGGGAGAGGACTGAGCCGCTCCATCCCAGCTGCTGAGCCACACAAACCCTCAACGACCTGAACTCCCCTTCCCAGCACAAAATACCTTCAAGAAGGACATCGAGGAGCTCTGAGGATGACAAGGAGCCCAGTCCAGGTGAGTTTTCTGCACCTGGGGGAGCGGGGATTGCTCCGGGAGCATCCAGCAGGCCGCAGCTCTGGACAGGTGGAGAGACCACAACAGTCAAATTCCACTTGAACTGGGCTAAAATGANACAAATCCTTATTTACCTCATTTACCATTTACCCCAGTCCACAAATCTACATTTACTATATTTACCATTTACCCCATTTACCACTTTTCCCAGTCCACAAATCCTCATTTATCCCATTTACCATTTACCTAAGCCCACAAATCCCCTTTTACCCCATTTTCCTCATTTACCATTTACCCTATTTGCCCCATTTGCCCCATTTACCATTTTCCCCACCCCACAAATCCATTTCCCACCAGGAAATGTGGGATCAGCCGTGATTTTGGGATATTCTCCCCATAACCTCTGCAGCCTAAAGCAAAAATCTGACGAGAAATGAGTGTATTTTTGGAATTTGCTATGAAAAATTAATTATCCACACCTGGATTTCCCCCAGTTGTTTTTAAAATTCACAGTGCAATTCAGGGACCTGGTTTGGGAGGATTTTGGGGGGTTTTGGAGGTGCCAAACCCAAATTTGGGCAGGATTTCTGCAGCTCGGTGTTATTCCTACAGCAGAGGGCAGCCTGGCTCCCTGCAGGATGGGAAACGGGAATTTGATTCCACATTTTTTATTTTTATTTTTTAGCTACTTTAAGCTATTTTTAGCTGTTTTAGAGCAAATTTTAGCTAATTTTAGCTGTTTTAATCTATTTTCCTTCCTGGCCATCAGCCTTTGAAATGATTTAATAATTCCACAGCATATGAACAAGCAGGCCCTGATTTGTCAGTGAGACCCAGGGCTAGCGAGTAAGATAAGCCAAATTTTTGTCCTATTTCTCTGTAAAATTTCACCGAAATTTCTCAGCAAAAGGAGCCACAAGTGGAATACATTGAGTGCAAATATTTGATGAGCCTGTATTGAAATGAAATTGAATTTTACCCCGTTAAATGGGCTAAAAGAACAGCCTACAAAATCTTATTTTTTCCCACATAAACTTCCCTCTCCGGGTATCACTCAGAGCAGGATTTGGCTCTGCTCCAGGAGATTTTATTTACACAACCCTTGTTTACAATCCCGCGAGGAGGAGCTGGATAAACGCTGAAATAATTTTTACAATTTCTGGGGAAAGGCTGGGCCGTGACTTTGGGACGGAGCCAAAGCGCCTGGTTGGATTTCTGTGCTAGAAAAACAAAAAGCAGCCCAGATTAATAGATTGGTTATTAACAGGTTGGTTATTTTGAGGTTGTCCTGAAAAGCAGCTGAGTCACAACTGAAATTTAAACGGATGAGGATGGAGGCCAAAGAGAGCTCAGAATTTATCCAAACGCCACGGCTCTGTGTTGTGTTTTTAAAACAGAAATGTTTCATGGATAGATAGATTAAAATATAAAAATAAAATATAAAATATTTTAAAATGCTTATTATTTATATATATAAATAATTATAATAATATCAAATATAAAAATAAAATATAATATAAAATATTTTAAGATATATACTATTTAAACAGGTTAAAATAATAAAAATAAAATAGAGTAAAAAGATAAAATATTATATATATTTTATATTATATTTTATCTTTTTACTTTATTATATTTATATTATATTTTATCTTTTTATTTTATATATATATAATAAAATATAATATAAAAGATATTAAAATCTTTTAATATATAATAAAATAATTACAATGAAATGCAATAAAACATCTAAATATTTTAAAATAGATTCTATATTATTAGAATATATTATACAGTATTATACAATAATATATAATATATCGATGTATTCTATATATAATAACATTATCATTTACTATATATTATATATATTATATGAAAATATATTACATATATAAAATATATATTATATAAAATGTATAACATCTAATATTATATATGAAATTTAATCTATATTTAATACATACTGAATCTACATTAATAATTATAGAATATACTTCACATATTGAATATTGAATATATTTCAATATTGCGTTTATTTCATATACATTCAGTATTGAAATGTTGTAATGCAAATATATTAAACATCGTTAAGCATATTGAAATAAAAATATATTAACCAATGAAGTATTGTAATAAAATATATTAAACATAATTCGATTGCATGATGCAGAAAGGAGGTCTTTTGAGATGTGATGGACACTGACAATATTTTAGGACAATATTTTATGACAATAAAATCCTGTGCCCTGCATTTGCTCTCCAAGATTTTTACCTCTTTCCACCTGAATTTCATCAAACCAAATCAACTATCTGAGAATTATTGCAGCACAATTCAGCCTGGCTGCATTTTTATTGCAGAATATGTGACAGAGAAGCAAAAAATCAGCTCAATTATCCCCATTTACCTGCTGGGCAGGCTGGCAGGCTCTGCTCCCCTCCTTTGCACTGAACCCCACTCGGGCACTCCTCGTCATTTTGAGGTTGTGCTCCCCCCTTGATGCCAGGCAAGGCTGGAAAAAGAGAGAAAAAGAAGAGGAAAAGGGCCATGGATTTCCTGCCCTGAGCAGCCTGAGCTGAGGACTGCGGGGTGAGGAGAGCTTTCCTGCCCTGCTGAATATTTCATGGCAGGCAGAGTGAAAAGATTGCTGTGAAATATTGATGGGAGTTACCTGAGCCCCACAGGTCACAGAGCAGAGACATCCCTGCCCTACCAGGAATATTCCTGTGGAACAAGGCCAGGGAAGGGCTGGTTGGGGGTGATGGAGTTTGCTCCTGGGCCAGGGTCCCCAGAGCAACCCTTGGTTTGGAAAATCCTCCTTTACCCCATTTACTTCGTTTACCTCAGTCCACAAATCCTCCTTTACCCCATTTACCGCATTTACCATTTACCCCATTTACCTCATTTTCTCCAGTCCACAAATCCTTATTTACCACAGCCCACAAACTCTCATTTACTCAATTTACCTCATTTACCATTTACCCCAGTCTACAAATCCTCCTTTACCCCATTTACCATTTACCCCATTTACCTCATTTTCCCCAGTCCACAAATCCTTATTTACCCCATTTATCATTTACCCCAGTCCACAAATCCTCATTTACCCCATTTACCATTTACCCCAGTCCACAAATCTACATTTGCCCCATTTACCATTTGCCCCATTAACCTCCTTTACCCCATTTAGCCCAGTGCACAAATCCTCATTTACCCCAGTCTACAAATCCTATTTTACCCCATTTACCCTTTACCTCAGTCCACAAATCCACATTTACCCCATTTACCTCATTTACCATTTACCTCAGTCCACAAATCCTCATTTTCCCCATTTATCCCATTTACCATTTACCTCAGTCCACAAATCCTCATTTACCCCATTTATTTCATTTACCCCAGGCCACAAATCCTCATTTTTACCCCATTTACCATTTGCCTCATTTACCTCATTTACCATTTACCCCAGTCCACAAACCCTCATTTACTCAATTT